GCTTTCTTTGAGCCCTTCTTAGCCGCTTTCACGGGGGGTGCATCGGCAGGCATGATGTGAGAGTGAGGTTGGTCAGACTCGGTGCTTTCCAGACACAGCGCGGCATATATTTATATCCCCTCGATGCAAATATAGCTGTGCTGTTGCTCGCACGGGATTGGTTGTTTTCTGAGCATGCGCTTAACGAGTTTTAGAATCAAAACAGATTGGATGACATGTAAAATGAACCCCCCCATTGATTATGTATTTGTATTATTGGGATCAATGTCCTTTTAACTCTTTCATATGTTTTTAACTATGTATGACGTGGACAACAGAGAAACAAATATTTTTCATGACCAACTTTGGAATTTAAATAAAAAAGTCAGTTGAAAATGATGCTCGTCACGCATTAATCCACATGAATCCCAATATATACGATTTTCAGATCCTAAAATAAATACAAATTTATTCATTATAAATGTGTTAGTCCTTAACATATCCCGGTGTATATCACCATTAAAACACACAGCTGGAAATAGAAGTTTTTGGAGCAGTCGTGGTTGGGACTGTAGCTGTGGAGACTTTATCCTCTTCGAACATATCATTGATTTGTGCATCTTGGATGTAGGATAAACAACATTGTGAAATGGTTTGCATTTTTAACATGAAGTATCCTAGCAAGACCAGTTTTGGAGATGATATATAGATTTGATATAATGTTCATTGACTGTAAAATGTGTGATATTGACGAAAGGAGACAGACTCTTTGAGTAATTTAGGTGGCTCTTAAAAGAGCCGTTGGTTTTCTAGGTATGTCAGGGTGTAGATGTTTAACCTCCGAAGCCGTACAGAGTGCGGCCCTGCCTCTTCAGGGCATACACCACATCCATGGCGGTCACCGTCTTTCTCTTGGCGTGCTCGGTGTAGGTGACGGCATCACGTATCACATTCTCCAGGAAGACCTTCAGCACCCCGCGGGTCTCCTCGTAGATCAGACCGGAGATACGCTTCACTCCGCCACGGCGAGCCAGACGGCGGATGGCGGGCTTGGTGATGCCCTGGATGTTATCACGTAGAACTTTACGGTGACGCTTGGCGCCTCCTTTGCCGAGTCCCTTTCCTCCTTTTCCTCTTCCACTCATTTTCAGGTATTGTTATGTCGGCTCGTACAGAACGAATGAGTGGAAGCAGAGTGACCGGCAGTATTTAAACATTCACTGCGGACCTAAGAGAAGACGGAGAGCGGGAAAGCTGCTAGGCGGGGCCAACGCTGCAGCCTCCACATAATCTTTCAAAACATTTTGTCTTCCTTCTAATATTGTTTATATAATTCATTCAGGCTTTATACTAAGCGTTTGATGATTAAACGTTTGTTAATATGTAATAAAACCCTCACATGCTTAATAACATTTATAATTGAAATAAGACCCTTTCTGAGATTAACATTACACTTAAAGTTGATCAGAGTATTCAAAACATACTCTTTATAGGAGACATTCATTCTAAACTGTTTCTGATGAGTCAAGACATACATTTGTATACATAACACATGTCAACAATTTTACATAAAAGTAAGAATTAGTCCAATAGAAACACCTGAATCTATACACTGTATTTAGGTTTGGTTGTGTGGCCATCATCAAAATGACTAAATACAAACATCCAGAAATGTACCAAATTGTTAATGGTAAATATAAAATATAAAGTAACAGACATGCCTCGAAAGTAAATGTTTGGAATAGGTGTTCAGATGCAGTGGGTGGCAGAGCCTTTGTGTTGTTGGTATATCATAAGAGGTAGGTTCACTTGCAGGTCTACAGTAGAGCCAAATGAAAACAGGGCATACAGTGCCATGCACCAGTATTCACTCCCTTGGCTATTTTCTATTTTCTATTATTAAAGCCAATAATAATTCTATATTTTGATTGGGATTTTATGTCATGAACCCGCATAAAGTCAGTCAAGATTGGTGAAGTGAAAATAAAAACTATCATGTTTTAAACAATGAAAAACTGAAAAGTTGTGTGTGCACATGTATTCACCCTCTTTACTATTTAGCCCCAACAATGACGTTCAGAGTCAAAACATTATTTAAATAAAGCTAACTTAACCCGTGTGCAATCAAATGTCTGATTATATTTGTATGTATACACCAAGCCCAAATCTCCCACACCACTTAACAAGTGGCAATAATTAGCAAGAAAATGACACTATGAAGACTAAGGAGCTCTCCAAACAGTTCAGTCCATTATTTCATGATGGGAAAACTATGCCACAACAACAAACCTGCCAAGAGACGGCCGCCAACCAAACACACTGTGCAAGGTGAGCATTGATCAGAGAGGCAACAAAGAGGTCATGGATAACCCTGAAGGAGCTGGTTAGCACCGCAGTAGAGAGAGGATAATCTATAGGATCACATTGAGCTGTACACCCCACAGAGCTGGGCTTTATGGAAGAGTCGCCAGAAAGAAGCCATTGCTAAAGGAAAAAAATAAGAAAACACGTTTGGAGTTTGCCAAAAGCCATGTGGAAGATTCCCCCAAATTGATGTGCCAAGCTTATAGACAAATCCAAGAGACTTGCAGCTGTAATTGCTGCAAAAGGTGGATCTACTAAGTATTGACTTTGGCTGAATAGTTATGCACACAAACATTTTTCTTATTCATTATTAGGCCTACTTCTTGTTTTTTTCAGAATTAAAAATCTGTTTTCCATCTTCAAAGATCCATGTTGTGTACATCAATAAAAACAACATCTGCAAAAATCAAATTGAGTTAAAAAAAATTGTGCAATGAAACAATGAAAAGGCTAGGGGGGCTGAATACTTTTCAAAGGCACTGGAATGACACACAGAAGGATGGAGCAAGTATGGAGCCAAGTGCACTCCATAGTGTTACTAAACTACATGACAATAGTATAACATATTGTATATAAATGGTAAGTTATTGCAGCATTTTATCAAAAATTCTGAGCTGACATTTCTCTTCGATTGCTTCAAGCAATAAAAATACTTCTTGTGTATCCACAGAAATTCAGTTGGCAGGGAAACCTATGTTCAAAGTACATTAGTGCTAACTTAAGAGAACTTAAAGGTCCATATTCGATAAAGGAAATATTTATAAGAATTAGTGATACTAAAATGTGAAAAAATCCACAATTTCTCAGGATGTGATAATGGTACAATCCTGTAGATTATGGGAAACATTAAAACATAGGATAACACATGTATTTAAATTCAAATGTAGAGAATTAAATAAAGCTACAAAAAGTAAATAAGTTACTTTAATCAAACAGTATATTATTTTAAAACAGATTCAAGTTAAATCTAAAACGGGTGAAGAAAATATTTCTAATTTAAAAACTGAAATTGATCAATTATCATATACAATACATAACAAATCTGAAATATATAATAGAGGAAACTTAACTTATGCCATTAACGTTTAAGTTAAATTAAACAAGAAATACAAATACTTGGTTTGACTGTAATGAAAACTGTGCTGACCTAAATTGGGACAATAAACTGATTGAACCCTTCCCAAATAATTAAATAATTAAACAAACATGTACATTTGGTGTGGGGCACAACGAGGGAGGTTAATCAACTAAATGTATTATTTAAAAGAAGGGAATATGGAGGCGTAGACCTAGATATTAAACTTAAAATGACTTTTGTTAAAATATTTACAGCGACAATATCAAGGAAAAAGGAGAGGGAGAGCGAGACATATTATATTACAAATTAGTATATGCTGATTTCATAAATAAATATACACCTTTTAAATGGAATGGACTTCCAAGTATATAAATATTTGTTTTAAATAAATGAATTCAAATATGGTGGATATATTCTATCACTTATTGAAAGCACCCAAGTTTCTTTCCGTAGGCTAATAAATTGTACTTATGCTGAAGAGAAAAAAAAGAACACCTCGTCTTTAAATTATTCACACGTGGTATTTTGCCTGAGCCATTGTGGAAAGTGGTTTGTAAACAAGGCTTCTTTGAACTGTTTACGTATCAAACATTTATTTCATTTCAAGTGATTTACATATCATGTATACGAGTCATGGATCGTGCATGACACTTATTCAAAACAGAGGAACACGTCTATAGATTTAGTAGGTGGCTCTTAAAAGATCACTTTGTATTAACGGTATCAATCATTCAAGGGAGGCTTTAAGTGTCAGCAAGAAACACCATTTGGATTGTTGTTACAGCACATTTGAGTTTGTGGTGGCAGAGGGACAACATTTAATAATAAAGTGTTCATTTGTCTCCTCTAAAATTTGCTAAAATGAAGATTACCACTTAGCATTTTCTATAAATAACATGTTTACTTTAGTGTAATAAGTTATTTAGATTCCTGGTGGAGTAGTTATAGTATAACAGGATGAGCTCTTTGGATGGGTTGGGTGGCTCTTAAAAGAGCCTTTGTGTTGTTGGTATATCAGCAGCAGAGTTTACTTGGAGCTGGTGTACTTGGTCACGGCCTTGGTGCCCTCAGACACGGCGTGTTTAGCAAGCTCTCCAGGCAGCAGCAGGCGGACAGCGGTCTGGATCTCCCTGGAGGTGATGGTGCGGCGCTTGTTGTAGTGAGCCAGACGAGAGGCCTCACCGGCGATGCGCTCAAAGATGTCGCTCACGAAGCAGTTCATGATGCCCATGGCCTTGGAGGAGATGCCGGTGTCGGGGTGGACCCTGCTTCATCACCTTTGGTAGACATAGATGGGCGAGCCTCCTTTCTGACTTTCTCCTCTTCTTTTCCACGTCCTTGCTGAAGGTCTCTAGCGAACGGCTTTCTTTGAGCCATTCTCTGGCCGCTTTCACGGGGGGTGCATCGGCAGGCCATTATGTGAGAGTGAGGTTGGCCAGACTCGTGCTTTCTCAGACACAGCGCCGGTCTATTTATATCCCCTCGATGCAAAAAATAGAGGCTGTGCTGTTGCTCGCACGGGATTGGCTATCGTCTGGCACATGACTCCCTCGCCCTCACGATGTACTTTAGAGCAGATGATAGGCCTATCTACTAGTACTGTATTGTAAAAAGGAGGGGAAACTTATTTACAAACATTATCTTCTGCACCCGCCCCCCCCACCACACGTAAAATGTCTTATCCCACAGTAATTCAACGTATGAGAGCAGTGTCTTAATATGACTAATGTAAGGTGCTTTGAGGACTTTGGAAAGCCTCAAATAACATACCATACTGTCTATGCTTCTAGCAGCTGTTTTAAACGAAAGTTAACCTTGGATATTAAAATCCCCAAAACTAGGCGAAACCTACCAGTTTTCCACCACTGTCCTCTGCCACTCTTCCCTCCATGGCCTGGTTCCTCCGGTTTGCTATCGCAGGTAAATAGT